GATATATTTTCTATCATCATTCTGATCATTGGCTAAGAAAAGACTCAATCAAGCACCTCACAGTTTACTTCTGAGTTATTCTCACTTAACCAGTGTAATCACGTTTAGCGTATATTTTTCAGAAAGGAAGTAATTTATAGTTTAGATAAAAAAAATGATAAACTTCCTGGATTATAAATTATTAAAGAAAAGTCACTGACTTTTTGATTCTCATTTTTAAACTTTATGAATTGGCAACGTAAGTCTTAACATGGACTAAAATACTTTTCGTTTTTAATTTTTCAGGCGTATCTAACAAGAATAAATTTCTTTTCATCATTTGTTTTAGGATAATTTCACGCGTGTTGATTCAATGCATAGAAAAACAAAGTATGGAATATTTGAAACGGAAGCACCGTAGAAAGTCTATTGCGTTTTTCATGATGGTATAAACAAATTTTGAACTTCAACTGTACCAGGTTTTGATGTTTGGCAAAAAACTCATCAAGGTTATAAAAACGAAAATATTCGATTTCAATTTCCATCCCAAAACTTGATTTTAGTAATTCTTTATATGTATATAAGGAAATTCCTTAAAAAAAAAAGACGGCTCAAATATGAAATATCATATTCGAGACTATTATCGTTATTAAGTATAAAGCTACACAACAGACAATCTCTAATGTGTTCACCGCGGGTATCGAAACCTGATTTTTATCGTTATAAGCTCTAAGGCTTACTGCTAAGCCATCTAAGTGGGAGACTATTATTGATTATGTTTCAACATTACAAATTTCCTTCCTATATTTCGTCCCTCACTTACAATAGTTTCATTAAATAAATAATCAGTTTGTTGACATATTGTTTTTTTTTAATTATATTATCAAGGAAAATCTTTCACAACTAAACGACTATAGCAATTGGTAATCAAAAGCTCTAAACGTTTGAAACAGCAAGATATGCAACATTTATTTTCTCTTCTACATTAACACTTAAATGGCACACCACTCTATTAGACTATAAGTTTTTCACAACATTGATGTGTTGTAATAAGTATTTTTTAAACTAAAACCTTCATATCGAAAATTTTAATACCAAACACAGTGTTTTCAAATTATGACAATTACCTCTTTAAAAAGCTTAACATTTTATTTGAAAGAAGTATATATTTACAATAATAACATTCAATACAGATTATGAGCATACAAGAGACAAGATGTAAAACATATGTAAAAACATTCGTTTAATGTTTTATTATATTTGTTCTAGTAAAGGTTTGTTCGTTAAATTTCATACAAAGCTATTCGATGGCTATCAGCGCTAAACGTACTCAATTTTGAAGTGGTAGACTAGAGGGAAGGGCTAGTCAACATTACACACTGATGACTCATGGGTTACTCTTTACCAACAAATAGTGTGATTGGCCGTCACCTTATAACGCCTCCACAACTAAAAAGGCGAACATGTTCACTAACAGCTTTTAGCTCTCAGATTGCGAGTCAAGAGCCTTTACCATCAACGACAATAAAAAATACTAAGTAATACTGTGCTTTAAAAGTAATGTTATTGATGGAAACATAGGCTGTGCTCTTCTATTATTTTGAGATACCCTTGCTACATGCGTTTTTGTTTGGTGTCAGTTTCACATACTTTGATATCAACTCCTCACACGTTTAAGCCTTTTCCTGCGGAATTAAGGCGGTACAATTTAAATGTTTATAAAACTCGAACCATTCGTCTGATTGCTTATCCGTTTAAACTCGATCTTTGGAAGGTCCACTTAAGTTATTCTACCAAATATCGTCGAAATTGGCACAGGCAGGTCTCAATAACAACCTGTGACACCAAACAGACATATAAAATGATTCAAGTATTCTAAATGCTAGTAACCGTTTAAGCCTTGTTACGTCTCCGTTCGTTAGTTGATTTTCGTAACTTCGTTCCCACGAAACTTTAGAGACACAAGTCCTTTCTTAATAAAACTGGTTTATTCTTTCTGAATATAACTTTACCGATACACTTATTTTTAACAGTCGCGCTATAACAACGAACGTGCTCAACTTCAACAATACTCTCTGACTACAGTTCAATTACTCACTACACTGTTGTCCCGTCACGTTGTCAACGTCTTATATATACAAGACTACCCCCAAACTAGTAAATGCTAGGGCATTCACGAAGGGACAGGATATTTCTAGAAAGCAGGTGGCGTGACACTAGTCACGTGACCTCGCTGACGCAACACTGCCCCTCCTTAGTATTGTTCGTCCCGAACAATAGCCACTTACATTAAACCAATAACAATTAACAATAACTTAATTAGATGTACATAATTACAAACACAAAATTGCAATTTAACAAAGTCTCTTAATTTTACGGGACGTATCTTCTTCCATAC